GGGTACTCATTTTACCCACCTTAGAAAGGATGGAAGGCTGAGTCGACCTTGAGCCTGGTGAGAATTGAACTCGCAGTAATTGCAGGCAGCTGGATGTTAAATGCTGCCTTAGTAGGAGGCATTAGCCTCCTACGCCACTCAGGCTCCTGTGGTGCCACATCCTGTTCCTTTCCTCCCCATCCTTTTAACTGTATTTTTTTTTACTGTGATTAGAAACATTATTTATGGTATTATTGGCTTTAATGTTGTATGATGCCTAGAGTCACCTCAAGGAGAGATGGGTAGCAAACAGTTCAAATCAATCAATCAATCAATCAATCAATCAATCAATTTCCAAAGAGTGGGCACTATGACGCATATATTTATGTTAAAATGACTAATTTTAAAACAATGTGGATGTTTTTAAATAAATCGGTGTATTGTAGAGTATTATGAGTAGCATTGTAGAATTTTATATTCATCCATTTGAAGGATGCCATGAAGTCATATAGTAAGTACCTTGAATTCTTTCACTTCATAAACAAATGGCACAACATAGGAGAACAAATCCATGAGGACTAGATTCAGCAGTCCGTCTGCATTTAAAAGACAAAGGCCACTCTTTTGAAGACAGCAAAGTCCACATTTTGGACAGAGAGGACCACTGCTTTGAAAGAGGGGTCAAAGAGGCCAACTATGTCAAAATTGAACAGCCCTCTCTCAACAGAGGGGGAGGGATACAACATCATTCTACAGTCTACAATACAATCCTTTCAGCAGTTCCAAGAAGGCTCTACACCCATTTGCAATACTCAGGTGACCCAGATGGCATTAATAAAACTGCAGAGGGCCTCAACAACTTGCAAAAGGAATGCAAATGACCAGCTATCTGCAAGGGGTATAAATCCTTCCATTCCCCACCATCCACTCAGAGCTGAAGAAGCTTCTTGGATGAAAAGTGAAACATCTTTTCTAAAAAAAAATGCACCAGAAAGTCCAGTTGCATCTTGAAAAAACACCTTTTGGACTCTCATAAGACTTGTAAGAGTCCCTTAATGTACCTTACAATAATGTAGATGTTATGTAAATAGGTTTTCTTGGTGGGAAGTTTGAACTAACTGACCCTCAGCTGATTGGCTGACCACCACAGCTGCAAGGTATATAAGGGAGCTGTTTCCCTAGGTCAGTTGCTGGGTTCTCACCATACAATAAAGTGCTGTTGTCACTCACTGCCTGGATTGCTGCATCCTCATTCACCCAACTTAGCATTGGCAACGAAGCTGGGATTTTGAGGCCAGAAGCCAAGGAAAGCGCTGAAGCCACAACCGAAAGAGCGGAAACCACGTTCTGAGAGAGCCGCGGAACACCCGAAGCCAGAATCCAGCCAGGCGAGCGAGCAGAGCACCAGAGAGTCGTGAACGATGTCTGCCTACACCCCGCCAGCGCCTTTCAACCCCAAGGAGGAGAAGTGGGGATCCAACATGTCCCGGTTCGAGTGCTTCATGGTGGCCCACGACCTGCAAGGGCTACTGGACGTGCGGAAGAAGGCCCTGTTCCTGAGCCACTGTGGACCACAGGTGATCGACACAGCTGAAGCCTTGTTGGAGCCAAATTCGGTCCACACCATACCATGGTCAATGCTACAGACCCTGCTGAAAGATCACTATGCCCCAACGCCTTCCAAATACGACCAGAGGTATGAGTTCCGGCAAAGGCTGCAGCAGGACGATGAGTCGATCAGCGAGTACGTCGCTGCCCTGCAGAAGGCCACAAACCAGTGCGAGTACCGAGACCTAGATGAGATGCTCCTAGAGCAACTAATCTGCGGAGTGAAGGACGGCCGGCTACAGCGGAGACTACTTGCGAGATCGAACCTGACCCTGCACATCGCCCTAGATGAAGCAACAGCAAAAGAGTCATCTGTAAAGGCCACTGAGAGACTGCAAGGGACCATCCATGGCCAGACAGCGCAGAGGTCGGCGACCGGGCATCGTGAAACCGATGTAAGTTCCGGGATGCGATCTGCCGGTTCTGCAAGAAAAAGAGGCACATCGCTCGAGTCTGCAGAGCTAAGCAAGCAGAAGGTCACAGACCACGAGGCCAAGCCAGCCAATCTGAGATGGCGCCGCGCCGGAGGGCCAATAAAGATGGCGGAAGCCGGAAGGGCGCAAAAATTGAAGACATCGAGGCCTACACCATCCGCATCGGCCAGACCTGCACCTCTCCCGGAGAAAAGACCTACACCGCAGTCAAGATCGAGGGACATGAGTGCCAGATGGAGATCGACACAGGATCCCCCATATCCATCATGTCGTGGGCCAACCTCAAGAAAGCCATCCCCAATGCACACAAGTGGCAGCTCCAACCACAGCGACGCTGGCTTAAAGACTATCAAGGGAACCATATCCCCGTCAAAGGAATAGGCGAGTTCCAAGTGCGATACGGGGAGTTCAGCGAAAGACTACCCCTCACCATTGTCAGTGGCAAGCTCCCAAGCCTCCTGGGCATGGACTGGTTTCGAGCCCTGGGCATGGGATTTACCTGAGTGAGGAACATCCAGAGCACCCTGAGAGACAACCTGATGCAGGAGTTCCAGGACGTGTTCGACGAAAGGCTTGGCAAGTATGTGGGGACCCCTATCTCGTTCAACCTCGACCCCAACGTTGCCCCAATCCATTTAAAGCCTAGGAGGGTACCATTTGGCCTGAAACCCAAGATAGATGTCGAGCTGGACAAATTAATCAAGCAAGGGATGCTTGTGCCAGTCGACCACGCCAAATGGGAGACCCCAATTGTGACACCCGTGAAACCGGACGGGTCAGTGCGTATATGCGCCGATTATAAATGTACAATTAATAAGGCTCTGCAACAGAGCACTTATCCAGTCCCAATTGTACACCATTTGCTACATTCCCTAGGCCCCGGCAAGATCTTCGCCAAACTTGATCTTGCGCAGGCGTACCAGCAGCTGCCAGTAGATGGCGCTACCGCAGAAGCACAGACTATCGTAACTCATAGAGGGGCCTTCAAATGCACCCGCCTACAGTTTGGAGTTAGCATAGCCCCCGGACTTTTTCAAAGTACCATGGAGCGGCTTCTGCGAGGGATCCCCGGGGTGGTCCCCTATTTTGATGACATACTCATCACAGCAGAAGATGAACAACAACTGGGGGGGGGAGGCTGAGAATGGTTTTAGAGAAGTTCAGAAAGGCAGGACTGCAGGTCAAACGCAACAAATGCATGATCGCAGTCCCCTCCGAAGAGTTCCTGTGGTACCGAGTAGACGGCACCGGCATACACCCCACCGAGAGTAAAATCAGGGCAATCCAAGAGGCCCCCACCCCTAAAGACAAAGCGGAACTACAGGCGTTCCTGGGACTACTTAACTTCTACGCAATCTTCTTAAAAGACAAGGCAACAGTGGCTGAACCCCTACACAGACTGTTAGCCAAAAAGTCCACATGGAAATGGGGGAAGGCCGAGGACAATGCATTTAAAAACCTTAAGAAATTGCTGTCAGCCGAGATTTTCTTGATTCAATACAACTCAACACTTCCCCTTGTTTTAGCCTATGATGCATCTCCTTTCGGCATGGGAGCTGTCCTGAGCCATAGACTCCCGAATGGCCTAGAGGCACCCATCACCTACTACTCCCGGACTCTGTCAAGCACCAAGAGAAATTACAGTCAGCTTGACAAAGAGGCCCTCGCCGCCATTTTGGGAGTAAAAAAGTTCCACGAGTACCTGTTCAGGTGGGACTTTGACCTAATCACCGACCATCGCCTGCCCCTGGGTCTCATCGCAGGAGACAGACCAACACCGGCAACCCTATCGCCCAGGATGACTCGCTGGGCCATCTTCCTCATAGCCTACTCATATTGCCTGGTACATCAACCGGGGCGGACATGGGAAACACCGATGCATTCAGCCGCTGCCCACTACCAGACAAGCTGGAAGGCCCCACACCCGGCATCCTGCTGATAGATGTTTTGGACTCGGGGCCCATCACATCAGCAGAGGTAGCTAGAGCCTCAAACAAAGACCACGTGATCCGGACGGTTGCAAGTTGGGTGATGGGGGGGGGGGGCGGAAAAGACTGGGAGTGGGGAATTCAAACAGTACGTGAGCAAATGGGACAAACTAACAATGCAAGGGGGGTGTTTGCTATGGGGTGAACGGGTTATTGTTCCCTTGTGCCTAAGGGAAAAAGTCTTAATGCTGTTGCATGAGGGGCACCCTGGGATTGTACGGATGAAGGGACTAGCCAGGAGCTACATCTGGTGGCCCAACATGGATGCAGACATTACTGAGTGGGTGGGGAGATGCCAGCCCTGCCAAGAGTCTAGGCCAGATCCACCGACAGCACTGGTGAGGGAGTGGGAAAGACCCAAGGGGCCCTGGTCCAGGATCCACCTAGATTTCGCTGGCCCGTTTCACGGGCAGACCTTTATGGTCATAGTAGATGCCTTTTCAAAGTGGCTAGAGATTAAGCTCATGAGGGCCACTACCACCGACGCGGTTATTAGGGAATTGAGGCAGTTATTCGCGACCCATGGGTTACTGGACATTCTAGTGTCAGACAATGGGCCCCAATTCACGGCCACACAGTTCAAGGGGTATCTAGCGGATTTGGGAGTCAGGCACGTCCTCTCGGCCCTGTTCCATCCAGCTAGTAATGGTCAGGCTGAGAGATTTGTAAGAACGGCCAAGGAGGCCCTCTCACGCCTAGGCCCTGGGGACTGGCAGGAAAGAGTAGACCGTTTTCTCACAGCCCAGCATTCCACACCTTGTACAACCACAGGCCGAAGCCCAGACGAGTTATTAATGGGAAGGAAGCTCTGAGGGGTACTGGATAGGCTAAATCCCAACTATTCCCCCGAGGTTTTCAAAGGGGGGGGGAGAGAAAACTCAGGGAGTTCACCATAGGGACTCCAGTCCATGCCAGGAACTACAGGAAGGGCCCACTCTGGGAAGCAGGAACAATCACAGAAATCACGGGGCCCAAATCATACAGACTAGACATGGGGGACGGGAGAGTTTGGCGCAGGCACATAGATCAACTGAGACGGCGAATCGCCACAGACGCTGAGGAAAACTTCAACGAACCGCTCCCTGACTATCAGCCAGAACACCCCACTACGTCAAACCCGAGTGCAGCGGAGGACTTATCTGACGATCCTGGTGTCCAGAGCAGCCCCAGCGAAGAGTTCCCACTGGCCAGAGAAGTCGCCGCCCACAAAGAGATCTCGGAGGTTCCATTAGCGGAGCAGGGAGAGACAGGGAGTCCCTCCAACCTGCTCGACGCCACCCCTCCAACTGAACTGCGCAGGTCGACAAAGATATGTACACACACTAGTCACCTGAGAGACTTTGTATGTAAATAAAACCCAAAGTGACTTTTGGGAGGGGAGGAGTGTTATGTAAATAGGTTTTCTTGGCAGGAAGTTTGAACTAACTGACCCTCAGCTGATTGGCTGACCACCACAGCTGCAAGGTATATAAGGGAGCTGTTTCCCTAGGTCAGTTGCTAGGTTCTCACCATACAATAAAGAGCTGTTGTCACTCACTGCCTGGCTTGCTGTGTCCTCATTCACCCAACTTAACAGTAGAATTAGTTCATTAGTTTCCTATCTGGTTTACATGGGAGAAGATTAGCCTGGCAACTTTTTTCTTGAGAACTCCATGCTTTCTTGTTTCCTCCAAGGCATTTAGGAATAATCTCATTGTTTGTTTCTTTGTTCAATGTATACAACGAATGTAGCCCCACCTATCCACCGGCCCCCACCCTTTGTCCTCTGCCTCCCAGCAATTTGGCTCCTTACAGCAAACAGCCCGTTTCAGCATCAGCACAGCCTGATTAGCACAAGCAGCTGATTATTGGTTGGATCAGCCTCCAGACCATCAGTTATTTAAGGCTGCAGGGATTGCCATAGCCTATTGCCATGCACCACATTTGCTGCAAGGAGGCAAATTGCTGGGAAGCAGAGACAGGTTTTTTTCTTGTTTTCCTCCTCCAAAAAGGTAGGTGCCTTATACTCCGAAAAATACAGTATATTTTGTCCATACATATTTTTTTCAATACATGATTGACCAGTTTATCTGAGCTTTTTTCACTTTTGAAGACAGTGGTTAACACTTCTTTTCCCAACTCACAATATTCTCCTCGCCGCTGCTCCGGGCTTCGGGCGAACTCTGCGCTTTGCAGGGCCAGGCGATGGGACCAGACCAACCAACGAAAACTAACAGACTTTCTGAATAAGAAGGATGAAATCTGGACCTGGGACCCTAAATTGCAAGTACTTCTAACAACCCTAAGACTGATTTTAAAAGCAAAGAAGAGTGGAAGGGGAAAAAAAAGAAAGTTTAAAATGGCAACTGGCTGAGGCTTGAGAAGAGCTGAAAGCGAAAGTCCTTCCGTTTGACTAGTTTAATATGTTACAAAGTAACTGAGATAACAGTGCTGGCTAGAAGTGAAGAGAAAAATTCTTATTTCATGCTTCTTCCTTCATAGAGACTTGATATTGATATTGTTTGGAGAGAAGTCTTCTTCTTTAAAGGGGAAAAAAGAAAAAAAAATCTGCTTGTGTAGCAGGATGGCGTTAAAACTCACAAAGCCAGACAACCAAGCTGGGGTGGGGGGCTCCCCCATTCATAAACCACATGGACAAGTTTTGAGCTTGCAGATGCAGAGGAATGGCTTTAAAGATCTAACGCAATTTGTATTGGAGGAGATGGCAAGACATGATGAGATTGTGAACCAGAACCTTGAAAAATTTAGACAGGAAATTAAAGAGTTGGTTCAACAAAAGTATGATAAATTCAAGCAACATATGATAAGTTTCTTAGACGCAATGATAAAGATGGATGAAAAGTTTAATTCAGAAATAGAGTCTAATATGAAGGAAGTTGATTACAAGATTCATAATTTGGATAATAAAATACAAAGAATTGAAAATGATTTAACAATGATTCAAGAAAATAGCTCAGAAGTAGAGCTAAAAATAAAGGAAGCTGACTACAAGACTTACAATGCAGATAATATAAAACAAAGGATTGAAAATGAAGTCATAATGATGCAATTTAGATTTATGGAATTTGCGGTCAGAATTAGGGGAATACAGGAAGATAAAAGAGAAGATTTGAGAAAGATGTCTGCTGAAGTTCTGGCTGGGATTTTAAAGGTTAGTCCTGAAGAGGTATCCTGTAAGATTGATAAGGCCTACAGAGCAAATTCTTGGGTGGCAAAGCAAAGGCAGTTGCCTAGAGATGTGGTGATTTACTTTACCGATAAAGGAATAAGAAATGATATTGTGCAAAAGTCTTTTAACTCCACTCTTGAAATGTATGGAAGGAAGATTTGGATATTTAAAGAGCTACCGCCCAAGATGTTAAAAGATAGAAAGGATTTTGGTTTTTTGGTGACTGAGCTAAAGAAACAAAACATCCCATTTAGGTGGGATGCTCCAGTTGGAATAATATTGAGATATCAAGGAGAAAGATACCAACTAAATACTGTTGAAAAAGCGGAAGAATCTTATTATAAGGTTCTTAAAATGGACTCAACATCTCCATGTATAACACACGAGGGGAATAAAGAAAAGCAAAATCAACAAGAGATTGAAACCCAGGCTAAGCAGATGGAGGCGGAGGCAACGGAAAAACAACAAGTTACAGAGGTTTTTGTGGACGAGCCGCTTATGGATTCTCCTTTAGAGGTTGTAGTTGGATTACCTATAAATACAAGAGAGGCGGCTTTGGATTCTAATGTAATGACTTATCAAGTTACAGACCAGCATGGAAATCAATCAGTTGATATACAACTCCTAGAAAGGCAACCAGGATGGAGATCTAAGCCACAAAAAGTTAAGAAAAGAAGAAGCAGGTCCTACAAAAATAAAAATTTTTAGACTAAACAACAGTGTAGTGCCAGTTACTTAAGAGACGATTAAAAACATGAAAATATAGCTGAGGCAAAGTATTGGTTTATATTATCTTGAGGAGAGTGACAGATCTCTGCAGTGCTGTGTTTCTGGGATGTGGAAGATGGCCTTTAACTGAGTGGATTGGAACTTTCTATTTTGGACTCTTTGACAAATGGATTATGTTTATGCTGAGCTATAAGGCAAAGAGAACTATGGGATTGGGCATGCAGAAGATCTGGTTGTTACCCTAATACGGTGGTTGGAATTAATAATCTAGATGAAAGACATTACAGAAGACACTATATGGAATATAAATATTAAGTCACTCGGGTGGTTTTTTATATACGAAAATATTTATTATTGATGGGGGCAGATGGTAATTGAAGATACTGAACATACTGTTGGAACTAGAATTTGATGTTACCCTAACATGGGTGATGGAATTAACAATCCAGCTGAAAGACATTACAGAAGACACTATATGGAATATAAATATTAAGTCACTCGGGTGGTTTTTTATATACGAAAATATTTATTATTGATGGGGGCAGATGGTAATTGAAGATACTGAACATACTGTTGGAACTAGAATTTGATGTTACCCTAACATGGGTGATGGAATTAACAATCCAGCTGAAAGACATTACAGAAGACACTATATGGAATATAAATATTAAGTCACTCGGGTGGTTTTTTATATACGAAAATATTTATTATTGATGGGGGCAGATGGTAATTGAAGATACTGAACATACTGTTGGAACTAGAATTTGATGTTACCCTAACATGGGTGATGGAATTAACAATCCAGCTGAAAGACATTACAGAAGATACCATATGGATTACAAGCTTAAAGTCATTTGAGGATTTTATCTATATATGGAAATATTTTTTAGTGGTGTGGGCAGAAGAACAAAGATATTGAAAATATTATGTATGGTAGACCTGCAGAAAAGTGGGTGGAGATAGACTAGCTTACTGATTGTTTAGTTTAGGAAAAGGGATGTTATGTTATATTAATATATGTAAAAGATTTGAATTAAGAGATATATGTATGGGGGAGGAGGAAATGGATAGATTATGAGTTGAAATTGCCAAATTAGGATTTATTATATAATTTTACAGTTGAATGTTGCTTTGAAATGTATAGTATAAGGGGGATATAATAATATTGTTAGAAAGAAAGGGTCAGCATATGGGGGGTGAAGTAAAAAGGATGGTAAAGTATTATATAATCTGTTATTAATTTGGGTTTTATTCTGGAGAAGCCACAGGGGGAGGGGAGGGGGAGGGGGGTTAGGGAGGAGGGGGGGAAAGGGGGAGAAAATCTGTATTTGAAAAACTTTTTCAATAAAAAAAAAAGAAACTAAATTTTCTTCTTTTGAAATTCTTGGATGTTCCTGTTTTAGTTCCATCCCTTTATGGAGAAGAATGAGTTTTGCAATATTTCCCATTGGAAATTGTATGTGGACCAAAATGGAGATGTAACAGCAGATCTGGACATCATCAGCTGGGTGCTTTTTCCCTTGGTGGATCCCTTCGATGAACAACTGGGGAGTTTTGAAAAGCAGAGATTTACAGTCAATAAAGATACTCTGTTATTGCTAAAGTCGCTCAATAAGGTGGGAGAAATATTGGTGTCCATTCTCTACCTTCAAAAGCCTGAGCACCCTTCTCAAGTTGGCTAAGCTAAATCACCAAGGTGGTTGACCTTCATTGGGAATTAACTGTGAGGAGTAGATGTATCAGTTTTCTTAGACTGCTTACAAGGCATCAGTACTATTGATCAAAGTGTCCTTTGCATGTTAAAATATGGAGTACTGTTTTCAGCTGATTCTGCATTGTCCAACATGAGGTGCTAGGTGACAAAGTTTCAGCACATAGGCCATGTCCTTTTCTGCATCCTCTGCAATCTGGAATTTACATAAAACTGATGAGATTTCCAAATACTAATGATTGTGGTAATGATAGACTCATTCTAGAACAAGGAAGAAAGTGTGCTTCTTCCTTGTTCTAGAATAGCAAAGGAGAAGGTAATTCTGTTAAATTCTGTTGCAATTCTAGAAAGAGTGCATTTGAAGAACGGTTGCTGGGATTGCGTATGTCTAGATTAATGAATAGAAGGACCAGGAGAGACATGATTGCAGTGTTGCAATATCTAAGGGGCTTCCACAAAGAAGACAGAGTCAAGCTTTTCTCCAAAGCACCTGAGGGTAGGACAAGAAGCAACGGGTGGAAACTAATCAAGGAGAGAAGCAACTTAGAACTAAGGAGAAATTTCCTGACATTGAGAACAATTAATCAGTGGAACAACTTGCCTGCAGAAGTTGTAAATGCTCCAACACTGGAAGTTTTAAAGAAGAGATTGGATAACCATTTGTCTGAAGTGCTGTAGGGTTTCCTGCCCTAAGCAGGAGTTTGGACTAGAATACCTCCAAGGTGCCTTCCAACTCTGTTATTATAAGTATTCTAAATATTTCCCGAGTTCAGGTTTGCTCTTCGTCCCTGTGGCAAATATTCCTTGAGATTCAGATAGTTGTGACTAGGGAGATTATGTCATGAAACATCTGTAAGAAAACAAGCCAGTTCAGAGACACCAAAGACTCCTCACTCCAACTCTGAGCTACAAATATCTTCCTTTATTAGCTCATGTTTTCATGACCTTACCTCTCTGTCATCTAACTACAGTTTAGACACTAGGCATTTAATTTAATCTCATATGACTACAACGGCAGCCATAGAAATCAAGAGCCTGTAGTACAGTGGACTAAAGCACACTGTTATTAACATCTGTGCTTGCAATTACTGCAAGTTCAAATCTCACCAGCCTCAAGGTTGACTCAGCCTTCCATCCTTTCAAAGGTAGGTGAAATGAGGACCCAGATTGTGGGGGCAATAAGCTGACTTTGTATAACTATACAAAAGTATGAAGGCTATTGATTAATGCCCTGAGTCTCCGGAGAAGGGCGGCATATAAATTAAAGCAAAAAATAAAAAAAAAATAAAAAATAAGGAAAATATATACAAATAGACAAAGACTTGCTACATAGGACCTTTTCCTATGTATCTTAACAGGGAGATTATTTTAGATTACTTTCAAAGGGGAGCAGCTTTGCAATGTTTTACGTAGTTTTAAAGAAACCTTTGCACCGTGATAAGCTTCTTTTGGGAAAAGTGTATTTTCTAAAACTAGCTAATAACACCACTGTTTTTGGGTGTAGTACCATAAAATTATATATCAATGGAAAGATAATTTAATCAAGAATGTAATGCAACTTTTATGAAGGATTTGCTATCAGAATAAGAATTAAAGTATAAAGAAGAAAAGTGAAACACGTAGAAAAAAACCGAGATATACAAAAATTATCACCATGTCAGCTAATACTTAGTTGGGTAACCTTTAGCATGAATTACAGCCTTACAACGTCTTCCCATGGAGTGAACCAAGTCTTTTAGTTCTGCAGCTCTTCTAATGTGAAACCAAGATTGAATGGTTGCTTCTATTAACTGGGTTTTATTGCTGGGTCTCTTCTGACTAACAAGTTTCTTTAGTTGGGTCGGTTCAATAGATTTTCAATGGGTTAAGGCGGGGGTATTCCCAGGCCATTCCAGCAGTGGAATACGATTATCTTGAAACTCCCCCCCAAAAAAGTGGTGTTATTAGCCATGAAACTTCAAAAATACACTTTTCCCAAAAGATTTCTACAATTTTGGCCACTGTAGTATATCAATGAGATATTCCAAAAGCAAAAGGGATGAACTAAATGAAGAATCTGTGACTAGCTGTATATCCTGCAATTATTTGCTGCTAGTTATAGAGTTTATTTATTTATTTATTTATTTATTGGTTTGATTTATATGCTGCCCTTTTCCAGCGACTCAATGTGTTAAGCAATAGCCTTCATACTTTTGTATATACCTGCTTAGTAGGGCTTTCGGGGGGCCCCTAAGCAGTGTTCTTTTTTATACAAAGTCAGCTTATTGCCCCCACAAACTGGGTCCTCATTTTACCTACCTCGAAAGGATGGAAGACTGAGTCAACCTTGAGCCTGGTGAGATTTGAACTTGCAGTAATTGCAGGCAGCTGGTGTTACTGAACAGCGCTTTAGTCTGCTGCGCCACCAAGGCTCAAGTTCAAACTTAGCTGAATGAAGGCCAGAGACTCTCTTGCGAATATACATTTTGACCTTTGTTTTCCATGGATGGTGAGTCCTAACACATTTTCTTTGGCATTCCTTGTTTTCCTGCTTAGACTCTGCCTCGGTCCCAATGTGTGGAAAACTGTCGTCCTGGGTTGGTCAAGCAGTCTCGAGAAGGAGAGCCAGTTTGCTGCTACAACTGCATTCCTTGTCCAGAGGGGACCATCTCCACTCAGGAAGGTGGGTCACATCAAAAAAAAAAAAAAAAAAAAAGGGAGGGCAGTTTTGTGGTAGTGGACTCATCCAAAGTATTTTCATGAAAGTGCAAGTTGAAAGATTGGAGCTCAACTGGGGTTTTTTTTTTTTTCATCTTCTGCTCAATTTATTTCACTAGAGCAGGGGTGAGCAACTGTGGCCCTTTTACAACCTGTGGACTTCAACTCCCAGAATTCCTGAGACAGCCAAGATGTCTGTTTGTTGTTGTTGTTGTTGTTGTTGTTGTTGTTGTTCATCTTCTGCTCAATTTATTTAAGCTCCCGGGCTTCCTGTCTACTTTTATAGCTGCCTGATAATAGCACAGCCAATCATTCTTCTTACATCATTTAAAGTCACAAAGATAGTTTTTCTATATATTACCTACCCAACCGTAGGATAAATATCCAACACCACTGATTAATTCTTTTAATTGTGAGGAAATTTCTCCTCAGCTCTGGGTTGCTTTCTGCTTAGTTAGTTTCCATCCATTGTTTATCATTTATTTACTTTATTTATTTATTTTATTTTATTAAATTTCTATACCGCCCTTCTCCCGAAGGACTCAGGCCGGTGTACAGCCAGAAATAAAACCATGACAGTATAAAATTTTTTAAAAACAATTTAAAACTAAGAGCCTGTAGTACAGTCGTAAGAGCCTGTAGTACAGTGGACTAAAGCACTGTTATTAACATCTGCTGCTTGCAATTACTGCAAGTTCAAATCTCACCAGGCTCAAGGTTGACTCAGCCTTCCACTTTTCAAAGGTAGGTGAAATCCTTTCAAAGGTAGGTGAAATGAGGACCCAGATTGTGGGGGCAATAAGCTGACTTTGTATAAATATACAAAAGTATGAAGGCTATTGCTTAACGCATTGTAAGCTGCCCTGAGTCTCCGGAGAAGGGTGGCATATAAATTAAAGCAAAAAAACCAACAACAACCAATTAAATCAATTGGCCGAAAATTCTCATAAAACAACCCAATTAAAATAGTATAAATATTATTATTATTTAGGCCAGCCCTGCTTGTTGGAATAATAATGTTTTAAGGGCGCGACGAAAGGTGCGCAGGTCAGGAATCCTACGAATCTCCGGGGGCAGCTCATTCCAGAGGATGGGCCCCCCCACAGAGAATGCTCTCCCCCTGGGGGTCATCAGCTGACATTGTCTAGCTGATGGCACCTGGAGGAGCCCCTCTCGGTGGGAGCGTACCGGTTGATGGGAGGCTATCGGTGGCAGAAGGCAGTCTCGTAGCTACCCAGGTCCCATGCCATGGAGCTCTTTAAAGGTGGCAACCAACACCTTGAATTGCACCCGGAAGACCACCAGGAGCCAGTGCAGCTCGCGCAGGAGTGGTGTTTCATGGGAGCGTTGAGTCGCTCCCATAATTACCCGCGTGGCCGCATTCTGGACCAGTTGGAGCCTCCGGGTGCTCTTCAAGGGGAGCCCCATGTAGAGAGTGTTACAATAGTCCAGACAGGAAGTGATGAGGGCGTGAGTGACTATGCGTAAGGAATCCTGGTCCAGAAAGGGACGCAACTGGTAAACCAGGTGAACCTGATAAAAAGCCCCCCTGGCCACAGCCGTCAGATGGACAGCTGCGAGTCCAGGAGGATGCCCAAGTTGCGAGCCCTCTGTGAGGGGGTCAAGATCTCACCCCCAATAGTCAGTGATGGAGTCAACTGACTATGACGGGACCCCAGAAACCACAGCCACTCGGTCTTGGAGGGGTTAAACCTGAGCTTATTCCTCCCCATCCAGATCCGTACGGCTTCCAGGCACCGGGACATCACTTCAAGGGCATTATTGTGGTGGCCTGGGGTGGAAATGTACAGCTGAGTATCATCAGCGTACTGATGGAAATCCACCCCAAAGCCACAGATGATCTCGCCCAGCAGCTTCACATAAATGTTGAACAGGAGGGGCGAGAGGACCGACCCCTGTGGCACCACACAAACTAGGTGCCTTGGGGTCGACTTCTGCCCCCCTGCCAACACAAACTGCGTATGGCCGGAGAGGAAGGAGGTGAACCACCGTATAACGGTGCCCCCCACTCCTAACCCCTCCAGCTGGCGTAGCATGATACCAGGGTCGATGGTATCAAAAGCCGCTGAGAGATTTAACAGGACCAGGAAAGAGGAATAACCCCTGTCCCGAGCCCTCCAGAGATCATCAACCAATGCGACCAATGCCGTTTCCGTGCTATACCCAGGCCTGAAACCCGACTGGTACGGATCCAGATAATACGTTTCATCCAGGTGCTGAGGAAGCTGTCGTGCCACCACACTCTCAACAATCTTCGCCACAAAACGAAGGTTGGAGACTGGACGATAATTTGATAAAATAGCCTTCTTGTCTTGCCTTCCCTGCTGATGGTCTGCAAAACTGGTAGTCCCCTTCTCTGTGGCAGCTTCTTAAATATTGGAACAGTAAGCTACACGTTGAGTGCAGTTTTTCAGCCAGTTATAGTTTCCTTCTAGGAATATCAGATATCTTTGAGATTTGAAGAATTAATTATTGGAAGGATTATTGTAATATATTCATTAGGGAAGGTATCACTGATTCAAATTCCTGTTGTGTTAAAATATGGATAGCCCTTATCCCATCCATATTACCAATGCTCCCGATAGCCATTCCATATTATTTGCAGAACTAGTTTTCTCTGCTAGTTTACCAGATCTCACAAGATAGAAATCTTCTGAATCCAGTATATTAAGAATTGCCATATTTCAGGATTCAGGAAGTGTAACTAGGAAGATTAACTGATTCATTATTAACCTCTAATACTATAGGTTCTTATGGAGATTCTCCACATTAAACATGAAATCCTACAGTTCGTAAGATTTGCCCAAATTCCATAGATCTCAGATATATATTTATATATTCAAAAATGGTATTCTGATTAACTTTATTCTGAGGAGATGTTAAAACATGCATTTGGGAAACTGTTCTGGTAACAGCTGTTGTCCCAAGAAGCTTCTTCTTAAAATGTAAATGGAGAGATTTTTTTTTTTAAAAAATAATCCTTTTGGTATTTTCAGATACAGAAAAATGCACCAAGTGTCCACCTGATCAATATCCAAATGAGGACCGAGTCCAATGTATTTCCAAAATTATAACCTTCCTGTCTTATGAAGAAAATCTGGGCATCATCCTTGTGTCTTTTGCTCTATTCTTGTTCTTAACCACAGCCCTTGTCTTGATTATATTCATTAAATACCGAGAAACTCCCATTGTCAGAGCCAACAATCGGGACCTCTCCTACATCCTCCTGGTCTCTCTCTTGCTTTGCTTCTTGTCCTCCTTTTTCTTCATTGGTCAACCAAGGAAAGCCACCTGCCTTCTCCGACAAGCAGTGTTCAGCATTGTCTTCTCAGTTGCCATTTCTTCTCTCCTGGCTAAAACGATCATGGTGGTGTTGGCTTTCCTAGCAACAAAACCGGGAAACCGAGTGAAGAGATGGTTGGGGAAGAGCTTGGCCAACTCCATCATCCTTTCTTCTTCTGCTGTCCAAATTATCATCTGCTCCATCTGGCTAGGAGTTTCTCCCCCATTCCCTGACTCTGACCTCCACTCCCAGCCGGGAGAAATCATCCTGCAATGCAATGAAGGTTCTGTTGTCATGTTCTACATCAGCTTATGCTACATGGGCGTCCTGGCTGCCATCTGCTTCACAGTGGCTTTCCTGGCCAGAAATCTCCCTGGCACGTTCAATGAAGCTAAACTGATCACCTTCAGCATGCTCCTCTTCTGCAGTGTCTGGGTGAGTTTTGTGCCCACCTACCTGAGCACCAAAGGGAAATATATGGTGGCTGTGCAGGTCTTTTCTATCTTGTCCTCCAGTGCAGGTCTGCTTGGCTGCATCTTCATCCCCAAGTGCTACATCATCATCCTGAGGCCAGAGCTGAATACAAAGGAGCAAATGACAACCAGAAGAAATGTAGAAATTTGAGGCAGAGGAATTTTAAATCTCAATAATTCCATACCTCGAAGTTGATCCAAATTCCTCTCCATACATAAGGGGGGCAATGATTTTTCTTGAAATAATTAAAGAGTGTTTAGAAGATAATGTCCCCAATCTTGATCTATAAAATTCTGAGTTGTCCACTCAGTTTTTTTGAATTCTCAAAGAAGCATATCTCTCTAATGCTCTTAGCCTATTGAGGCCCAAGATGCCACATCCAGGTTTTTGAAACATGACATTTGTGCAATGGGATCTTGTTGATATACCAAAAAATTATGGAGGGGGGTTGGGCATGCTCTAAATTCCCTTATTTTAGTTGTGTTTTTTTTAGCAACAAGATTCCTTTAATCCCCTTCGGTGGTAGAGTCAAAATCTTCTTTCTGTGGCCATGTTGTTTAGCCTTCCTCTGACAATTGCCATTTGAAATCGGAAAAATGAAATGCTCCATCTGCAAATTGTGTAATAAAAGTGGAAAGTGGCTGAACATGAACTGAGTCTCCGGAGAGGGGTGGCATATAAATTGAATTAATTAAACATAATTGAAATTGTCATTAAGATTGCAAAGGTGGGCATTGGGGAAGGTTGGAGATCCTGGCTGATCTTGGATGGTCTAAAGAAATTAGAGATCTTTCTAGTAGTAGGTGGATTCTCTATAAGAGCATTATACTTTCATTCTTCATTTAATCATACTAGAATTCAATATAATCCAACCAGCATCTTAAACTTTAAAAGTGTTGATTTTAACAAACTCAGAGAGAGACTAAGTAAAATTTCATGGATAAAGATCCTAAAGGGAAAAAAATGTATGAAGCATGGGAAACCCTGAAAAAAATGATCATAAAAGCCCAGACCAACACAATATCACTGAAAAAGAAAAACAAGAAATCCAAGAAAAAGCCAGCATGGTTGTGCAAAGATCTCTCTGATAAACTGAAAGACAAAAAGGATAAGTTAAAAAATGGAAAGAGGGACACATAACTAAGGCAGAATATCAGCAGATAGCCTGAATCTGCAAATATGTGGTCAGGAAAGCAAAGGCTCAGAATGAACAAAGACTTACAACAAAAGTCAAAGATAATAAAAAAAAGTTTTTTTCAATCTATAAATTGTTAAGGAATATACACAGAGTAAACCTTGCGTAGCAAGGTTGTGCACATAAGAAAATGGCTGAGAGTGATTGTGAATAAGCACTGTCAATACACACACAGAGTTGTGATATTCTTTTATTTTTAGGAAAAAGCAAAGCAAAGTCCAATAAACAATCCAGGTCATACACAGATAAAGATAGTTAAATTGTCAATCCAGGGATATTCCAAGAACAAAGTCTTCTTACCAGTTGTTGTAGTCATATGCAATAAAACAGTTCTTTTTGGAGTTGCAAACAGGAACAAGTACAGCAGTAAAACTATCAGTAAAACAATAGAAAAAAACAAGTAGCAATGATCAAGCAGTAATCATGCAGAGAGAACAGGCAGAGAGGAGCAGAGGTAGCAATAATAATGTAATAAGAAAAATAAGCCATGATTCAAGCTTCCTCTTAAGTACATTGGCTATCGAGCTAGCCAATCAAAATACAGTATGATGCAATACAGCATTACAGTCTTAAAGTTATGCATTACATTTTGACTGCAAACATGCATTGCTGGTTTATATATATTGTGAACCCAACCAGTTAGGCAATAGCCATTCCCTAACATAAATATCAAGAAAAAGTCAGGAAACAGTCAGTCCACTAAAGAGAGAAGATGGCAAGGAAGTAAAAGGCAGTAAAGAGAAAGCAGAACTGCTTAACCTATTCTTTGCATCAGTCTTCACACAAAAAGAAACTGTAGCCCAACCTACCAAAAGCCTAAGTGTAAAAGACAGCCTAGAACAGTGATGGCTAACCTTTTACATCACCGCGTGCCTACCTGAGTGCTGGAAATGGCACACAAAACCATCCCACCTGAACCGCGTGGCCTCGCTGGCCTTCATGCACACAGGAGCACCAAAACCCGGAAGAGCAGCTTTCCATCGCGCATGTGCGTGCTGGCACCCAAGCTTCCAGTTTCCAGCACAGACGTGTGCCCAACGAACAGATGGTCATCGCACTTGCATACCATGGAAACCTGGTGTCAGGTTTCGATGTCATCTCAAATAAATTGCACTCCCAAACAATTAATCTTTGCTGAAATATTCCATTTATTGAGTACGACAGATCTGGCCCCGACTTCGTCGTAGCCGATACTAACCCTCTCACCCCCAAACCCTTCCCTTTCCATTCCCCAATTCTCATCTTCTCATTGGCCATCTTCCAAGTCAGTCTCCCTAGCTTCTGACCTCACCCCACCGGAATGTTCCCCCCTCCCATCCCATCTCCTAGGGGATATTATCTACAGAGAAAATAAGTAGGTGAAAAGTCAAGCCTCATCTTTTTATGGCAGCATCAGAATGCTTGAACATTCTGGACACCTGAAAGTTCGGGTGGCAGCGCACGCATGCACAACAGAATGCTGCTCTTCTGGATTTTGGCACTCCCATGCATGCGAAGGCCAGCTGACCGGCATACATGTGTGCACAGGAACATGGGAGAGGAGCCAGCGAGGCCGTGTGTCCCATGCGGGATGGTTCTGCATGCCGCTTCTGGCACACATTCCAAAGGTTCGCCAACACGGGCCTAGAAAGAAAAAATGAAATAAGCAAGAAAATGTATAGAGAACACCTATCAGATGTTGACAAATATAAATCACTGGGACCTGATTATTTACATCCCAGAGTTTTAAAGGAGCTGGCAGATGTTATCTCATAAACATTGTATCATGTTTTTCAAAAATCCTGGATTATCAGGGAACTACCAGAGAATTGGAAAAGAGCTGATGAAGTTCCCATCTTGAAATAAAAAAGTGGGGGAGGACACAGACTTTGGAAATCACAGACCAGTCAGCCTGACCTGGGGAGATACTGGAAAAAATATCAAAAAATAGATCTGTGAACATCTAGTAGACCAGTGGAAATGTTGAAAATCTTAGAAGTTCTTGACCATGTGTCCAAGTTCTCTGCGGTAGGCTGTCAATTCCTGGACTCTTGGTTGTCTTTTATCCAAACATTGATATTTGTAGAAAAGATGAAAAATGAAATTTCAATTCAGGCACAAATTATTTTAAAATCAGCTCCAATTTAGGATTACTGTAGGGAGATCTCATTGAAAGGAAAAGCACAGAAAGAACCTACTCTTAACATTAGGGAGGGTTCAAGGATACGTATAGCCTCCTTTGCATTAGAAGACAGGAAGGACTAGAGTTGTGTCATCAATGTAGACTTTAATCAAACTTTGTAACTCTGGGTGACTTTCCTCAGTAGTCTTTGGATACAAGGCACCCTGAGGAAGGACATCAGAAGTCAATTCCTTGGGTGACGAACTGTTTTCCTCCATCATCACTTTCTGGACATGTCCTGACAGGAAGGACCACAACAGCCCCAGGGATATATTTGTAACTTTTTGCTTAAATGCTATTCTCCAGCTGACCCTTTTCACATGGAATCTTGGAAGAACTTCAAGATCCTCAGAGGAGAAGTTGTTTCTCAGTGTAATTATCACTGTCCTGGATTTTCAGACTTCATCTGCTACTACTGTATTGACTGTCATTGATGTAAACATCAGACTGAAGCAACGTGAAATGATCTTGCATCAGAAAAGGATAAATGCCTCAGGTGACACTGTATGGCACAAGTTTTGGGACAGCCACAGATTGTGCTTCAGACCGTACCTTTCTCTCCTTTCCAGATGAAGATTGGTTTGCCTATCTGAATCAGGAAAGTGGAAATGTTTTGAATTCTTCTAATTCTTCTTTCTGGTTTTCTTTAGAAACAAAGGGTTTGGCTCTATAAATTATGGACTTTCTGCTTCTGATGGTTTTGGTATCTCAGGGAGTCTCTGGGAAGCTTAGAATGAAATGCCCACTGAATTTTGAGATCCAGGATGAGAAAAAACCATGGAACTATTACATGCCAGGAGACCATCTCCTTGGTATAGTCACTTCTATGACAAGAATATCGCTTGAAATGTTGCCTTTCAACATGGCTCCTACGAGTCAGTCTCATTCGTAAGTTATTCAATGTGACAGAGTCGCATTCGTTCCACTTGCAGTTCCGACAATGTCATTTTCTTTTTATTTCACTTATTCCTATGTTGCAGGAGCTGTCTAATGTCTTGAATTGTTTTGATTTCTATGGCTTTCCTCTTTTGTGGAATAAACTCAAATCCCAATATGAGGCAAATAAAACCTGAAACGAGTCCGGATTATTTATCCTTTCCCTTCCAATCACTTGAATTCTGAGGTTGGTTAAAATTAATGGTTGAAAGGGTTATAGATGCCTCTGTCCAGCCCATTTCCATATTTAAATAACTACTGGTTGATATCCAATTTCTGATCCATAGAGGTATAGATCAATAAGAAGAGAGCTGGAAGTGACCTTGGAGGCCTTCTGTTCCAGCCCTCGGCTCAAGGAGGAGAACTTATACTATTTTAGACAAGTGACTGTCCAGTCTCTTCTTAAAAACCTCCAATGATGAAGCACCCACAACATCTGAAGGCAAGCTGTTACACTGGTTAATTGTCCTCAGTGTTTCTCCTAAACTTCAGGTTGCTTCTGTCCTTGATTAGTTTCCATCAATTGATTCCTGTCTTGCCTTGTGGTGCTTTGGAAAATAAATTGACCCCCTCCTCTTTGTGGCAATAAATGTGACCCCCTCCTCTCAAATACTGGAAGACTGCTATCATATTCCCCTCTAGTCCTTCCTTCTCTAGACTTTCTACAGTTGCTTTTCTAGGTCACTAAGGAAACAGTGGCTAAGACACTGAGCTTATCGATCAAAAGGTCGGTAGTTCAGCGGTTCAAATCCCTAGTTCTGCATAACGGGGTGAGCTTCCGTTACTTGTCCCAGCTTCTGCCAACCTAACAGTTCGAAAGCACATAAAAAATGCAAATAGAAAAATAGGGACCACCTT